AATGTAGAACTTCCTGTTGTGTTAAGGGGATAGAAAGTGAAAAGAAACATCTTCAATATGACACATATGCAAAAAAATCTAAGGTGTTCTGTGCAATATCCAAAACTAAAATGGAATTACGGAAATGTGATTGGTATTGGTATCAGCCTCCCTCTGCTGCAAAGCTCAGGCTAAGAGAGGGAGAAGCAGCACAAGGAGTCAATCACCTCATGTACTGAAAAGTTGTATGTTAATAAGAGGACAAGAGTGTTGGAGAGATGAACTCATCACTGTACCGCTTACACTTAACTGTACAGTCAAGACTGAGGTGGCCCCAGGATGACCCTGACTCGGATGAAGTTGGTTGAATTATGCTGGCTGCCATCAGAGCCGTAGCTAGTTCCATTTGCGCCTGAGGCAAGAACAAAAAAATGTGCCCCTAACAGGCGTGTGATGTCACCCAACGCCACGCACACATCATGCGCCCCCCTCCAGGATGTTTTTTTAATGTATTTTTTTCTATTTTTTATTATTTCTTTTTTATTATTTTTTATTTATGTATTATTATTTTGTTTTACTGTTGGGGGCTTTGGGGAAATATTAGGGGTCTAAACAGCCCCCTGATATTTCCCTTTTAAAATAGAAAAAGATTCAGAAAAATTCAGAAAATATTTACTTTCAACTAGGTTCTTAATGGGGAGAAGCCTCTGAACTGAGTGCTACTACCCATTGAGAAACCCATGAATGAACAGGAAGTGATGTAAAGCACTTCCTGTTCATTCATAACTGGGGACACATAGTACTATGTAAAACAGTAGAAAGGCATCATGGCACACTCACAAACCAGCATGTAAAACAACTTGTCTCACCACTAAGGATAATAACAGAGGTTATTATGTGTCTATGTACTATGTGTCCCCAATTATTTACAAACACTGGAGTGATCTGCTGCATATAGAAGATTGGTAAATATGACAGATATTTACTGATCCTCCTGCTCTCCATCCTGAGCTGCTCGGCCATGCACAGAAGAATACACAGCCTGCAGCTTCTTCTTGGATCCCTGCTGCTCTCCCCTACCTGTAAGGGGAGAGGCAGTGGGGATCCAAGGCAAAGTGAAGCGCTGAAGCCGGTTCAGGGGTGGAGGAGGGAGCTGTCACTTCAGGATGGCCGAGTGGTGAGGGGAGAGAGAACCACCAGCTGTCAGATGCTGGCCGAGCAGTGAGGATCCAGAGGAGAAGCTACAGGCTGTGCTGCCCCAATTCTCCCTCGTCTGCTGAGCCCTGGCTGTCCCCTTCCCCCCGTACCTCACCCAAGGCGAGTGCCTCAGTCGCCTCACCCTAGCTACGGCCCCGGCTGCCATTAAACCCCCACAACTGAGGATATTTTGTGGTGGAAGAGAAGCATTGTGGGTGGCAGCTGCAGCAGTTTTAAATTTCTCCTTTAATGGACTGATCATTTTTCTGCTGTTTTTATTTTTGACTAACATTGCACTTTAAGGTAATATAACAGTAATAAAGATTCCATCAGATATCTCAAAAATAACAAGAGAATTCCTAATTTCAGGACAATGGACAGATCCATACAAATACAGTAACTGTTTTTTACCCCATTGCTTAGCTTAATATTATAGAGCTATTTGTTCCAAACTGCATACCACTGTTTTAGGCTAGTAGGCCATCATTAGTGTGGTTATGGAAATCATGGCTTCTATGTATTGTCCTGATGGGTGCCAAACCCTACTTCACAGAAGCCATGATTTCCATACACTGCACTGTGTATGGGCTTGTACTCGCCCAAGTGCTCCGATACTTACTCCCTGCAAAAGAACATAGAGCCAGCTTACCAGCCAATCAGGAAGTCTGGTGAAGGGTAATGACCATCTGGTGAAGGGTAATGACCACCACCACCTGATTGACCATGCTAGCTCCATGCTAGCGGAAGTACCGGTTTCAGTACTCGTACTCGATACCGAAAACCGGTATCAGTACATCCCTAGAAAAAAGCCTAAAAACAAATGTATCCATCACATCTAAGGACTGGTAATTTGCAATATATAACATATTTGTTCTTGAGTTTACATACACTTTATGGCCCCATTCACAAAAGATTCATTGTGATCCGTTTTTCAATGGATGTCAACGGATGCCAATGGAAGGTAACCCAAAAAATGAATGGGTGTAAATGGGACCAGTTCCCACTGCTCCATTTCATTGCATTGCACTGTAAAACAAGTAGAGCATTCACTACTTGTTTTCAGCATAGCATAAAGCAACGCAGTGCTGTGAACTAGACCCATTCATGCCCATTCATTTTTCGGTGCCCTTGCATTTGCATCTGTTGAAAAACAGATTGCAACACAATGGGGTTGATTTACTAACCTTATAAACACACCACAAACGTGTATACACCTCTGTAGTGTGTTCCCTCCCAGCATGATCTATGGGTGAAATCTAAACACCTTTGTAGTGTGTACACACCCAGCAGGTGTGTTGTGCAAAGCCCTGCCCTGAATTGCAAGGTGATGTTGTGTAAATTAGCTCTACATTGTGTTGCTTGCGTTGATGAATGCAGGAATGTAAATGCATGAGCTAACCATTTTTGTCTAAACTGTGAAGCAGCATTATATATGCATCATGTGCATGATTTTTCCATAGATGGCATTAGTGGAAACATGCTTATAGAGACTTTTTGGTTGATAAATACGCTTTGCTGTGTAAAAATCACACGCACCTGGTGCGTGCGTGTGTTTAGGTTAGTAAATCACCCCCAATGGATCAGAAGAAAATTCGAAGGTACATTCAAAAGTCAAAAGGACCCTCCGTTGATTTACAATTACCTTTCAATTTTGATAATGAAAGAGCCCTTAGTCAGTACATTTTGTTCCTACAGTATTCTGACGGTTTCACTTAAAGTGACATTAAACCCTCAGATTTTTTAACATAAACCAATACTGTAATGTGCGCCTTACTGTAATCCATGGTAGTTTCCCTTCTCTTTGCTGCTCTTCCTTTTAAATCCTCATGTCTTCTCATGCTTGGGGAGAACTTCCCTTTGCAGCTGAGTGCCTCTTTCTGTAGTGCTGGCTCAGGTTGCAAACCTACACACAGACACCGTGTATCCATTCCAGAGACAAGGCCGTCTGCTGCAAAGGGAAGTTCTCCCCAAGCATGAGAAGAGATACAGATTTAAAAGGAAGAGCAGCAAAGAGAAGGGAAACAACCATGGATTACAGTAAGGCGCACATTACAGTATTGGTTTATGTTAAAAAATCTGAGGGTTTAATGTCACTTTAAATCTAAAAAGTAGTTAAGAAAAGGCCGGCAAAATTAAAAGATGCTAAAAATAATTTTCCGATGTAACAGTAATAATAAATCCCATGATAATACCAGTAAACGCTGCATATTCTCTGTGGGTTTTACACAATTCATTATGTGTACTTATAAAAGCCTGGGTCCTCCGTATAAACAGAAAACTCAATATTTAGTGCTTACATATTTATAGAAATGTTCGGTTTTGTCCTAATTTTATATGCCATATGATGTTGTTCTTGTGATTACAGCTGTTGAAAGTACTGGAACAAAATACTTGCAATGCTCAATTTCGGAACACAAAGAAGCATATGTCAGGCATTTACGTTTTTGTTTTTATTTTATTTTTTAAACATGACAATATTTTGTCAGTTCATTCAACTGAACAATATTTAGCACTATTCACATATTCCTACATTTCAGAAATAACTTTATTTTCTTATTATCTGCAATGTGTAAAGTGCAGTAATGCATTGAAGCCGGTTGGTAATGTATTTGTTTACAGTGAATGAGTTTCTATTTATTACCACTGGTAATTGTAGTAATCATTGCACTTTTTCCTTTTCCTGTCTCTTTTTCTTTCTGAATTGTCCTTCATTTTTCAACACTCCTGTTGTTTTCAATTTCCTTTCTTTTTCAATGTTTCTTTCCTTTTGCAACTTTTTTTTTCTCTTTTCATTTTTCCATTCCTTTTTTCAATTTTCCTTTTTCATATTTTCTTTCCTTGATCCTCTGTTTTCATTTTCTTCTTCATTTCTTCTTTCTTCCTCTTTTCATTTCCTTTTGCCATTTTTTGGTTTTCCTTTTTCAACATTCCTTTTTTTTCCCTTTTTCTTTTTCTTTCTTATTTCTAATTTTCCTTTTATTTTATTTTCCTTTTTCCTTTCCTTCCTTGATTTTTTCTTTTTTTTAGTTTTCCTTTTTTTTTGCTTTCCTTCTTTTCCTTTTTAAAAATTTTCTTTCCTTTTTAAAATTTTCCTTTATCACTTCCCTCACTTTTTTAAGTTTTCCTTTCCATTCCTTTTTCAAACTCTTTTTAACTTTGCTTTCTTTTTTTCAATTACCCTTTTTTCAATTTCCTTTTTTTCCCAATTTTCAGACCCCGTTCACACTGAGCGATTTGTCGCGCAATTTCAGCTCCAAAATCGCTTAAATATCAGCTCAATGTAGCTTGACAAATGCTTGTCCGATGCATTTCAATGGAGCTGTTCACATCTCACAGCTCAATGTCACCTGTTGCTTGTAGCTCAAGCTTGTCGCTCGAACATGGCCTATTTTTTGGCGGATTTTGTGCGATTTGGCCCAATAGACTTCAATGGTGTAGCTCAATGTCGCATGACATTGTCGTACTACGTCGCGCTACAGAAGTGTCACTTTTGCACATAAATATAAGAAGGAAGGAATTATGTCACACCAAGACTGCTTTTGATGGGTAACAGCCCAATGTAGCAGCTACGAAGTACCTACAAAAAGTCATGCTACAAAATATGCACTGTAGCTCAATGTAGCTCAATGTCGCTCAGCTCGAAATCGAGCTGAAAATCGAGCTATTTGTCGTGTTGCTCAATGTGAATGGGGTCTCATTTCCTCTTCTTGCTTCTCCTTTCCTATCTTTTCTTGCCCCTATCTCACTTTCACTGCTCTGTTCAAATCTTTTTCACATATTTGATAAACCAGTTTCAAATAATATTAATATTTTGTCGGCAGGTTATGGATGAGAAAAACATGACTGCAATTACCGTGATCCACCTATTAGGGTTTCAGACTTCAAAAAATGTAACATTTGTGGTCTTCTTTCTATTTCTTATGTTTTATTGTACAACAATATGTGGAAACCTCCTGATCATCATTATGGTGTCCTACAGCAAAACCCTCCATTCTCCCATGTACTTCTTCCTCTCCCAGCTGTCTGTGTCAGATATGTTACTAATAACGGATGTTGTCCCTAACATGCTCCATGCTGTTTTAGAAAATACTACTATAATGACAGTTTCTGACTGTATCACCCAGTTCTATTTCTTTGCTGCCACGGAAAGCTTGGAGTGTCTTCTTCTGACAGTGATGTCTTATGACAGATATTTGGCCATTTGTAAACCATTGCATTATACTTTGTTAATGAACCATCAGTTTTGTTTGATAACAGTTATCACTAGTTGGAGTTTCAGTTTTCTATTAGTGCTGATTTATATTTTAACCATATCCAAATTGCAGTTTTGTGGCCCCAATGTTGTTGATCACTTCTTTTGTGATCTTGACCCGATCCTACAACTCTCCTGCTCTGACACCACCATTGTTCAACTAGAAGCCACGATACTGAGTGTAATTTTTGGTGTCATCCCATTCATTGTCATCATTGTATCATATGTTTATATCATAGTCACCATTTTTGAAATCCCATCCATCACTGGTAGACAAAAAGTTTTCTCGACATGCAGTTCCCATTTGACTGTTGTGTTCATTTTTTATGGGACCATGTTTTGTGTATATTTAGTACCAGGTAGAGGACAGTCGTTGAACATTACTAAATACTTTTCGTTACTGTACACTGTACTCACCCCACTAATGAATCCAATTATTTACAGCCTGAGGAATAAAGACTTGAAAAAAGTTGTGAGAAAAATTATCAATAACTTGTCTTTCTAAAAACATTAAACCTTTAAAACAGTATAACTTATGAGCAATGATTAAATAATTAAATATGACTTTTCAGTGTAGTGGAAGATCAGTTTAAATATTCATTTTTCACATATACACACTCACAGTGGGTGTACATTTCAGTGCCTTGTAGCTGTTAGCTTGCTTATTGGCGCAGTTCATTCATATTTATATAATATAACTTATGAGCTATGATTAAATAATTAAATATGACTTTGCACTGTAGTGGAATTTCAGTTTAAATACAAGGGCCCCTCCTACTTTACAAATGACTTATTGTTAATAGATGTCAATCGTACCTGTAAAAAAAGTTTCCAGAGGAATTCAGAGCAGGTGAAATCTCATGAGAAGACCCTTGGGTCTATTACAAGAACCTCTTCTTGCTAGTTTTTATGCTGCTCTGTATTCCCCAAGATTTAGCCAGAAAGAGTGTGACACTACCCTCATCTAGGTAAAGAAAAGTCACTAGCACTCCAGCGTAAATGCAAGTAAATATTTATTGACTACTAACAGGGTTATTCACAAAAAAATCTAGGACAACATAGCTGAACTGGTAAAATTCTCCAATTCAGCTATGTTGTCCTAGATTGTTCACTTCTCCTGCCTTCTCCCAACCCTTCACCCTTTTGTGACTAGCCCTGTAAGTGTCACATCATCACAGGTGATTAAATAGCTTTAAAAACTTAATGTTAAATCATTTTACACAGTGATAAACCTACCTAATAAATAATATATTGCTTATGAACTTAAGTGTGTGATTATTTATTCGAAAATTCCAATTTCTGAAAATTACATAATTGTAAAGGCTTATAAAATAAAGTGAAGCAAAGTAATTGATACCTCAGTTCATTATTTCAGAGAAAGGGGTGGGACGATTTAGGTAGTAGTATATCTCTATCTATATTCAAAATTGTAAGATTGTGTTTACTTATATAGGTTATTTCCTCCTTATCTTGCCTTCAGCCTATACTGCATATTTTTCTCCCTCTCCCCTCCCTTTTTTACCTCTTTTGCCCATCTCTCCATCCTACCTTTTCCTCTCCCTTGTTCTTCCTACCTGACCCCTACCCTACCTATCCTATCCTCTATACCAGGGATGGCGAACCTTTTTGAACCCGAGTGCCCAAACTGCGATGCAAAAATCAATTTATTTATCTCAAAGTGCCAGCGCTGAAAATAAGTTTAGTATTGCAGTTTGGGCGCTCAGGTTTAAGAAACGTTCAACATCACTGTTGTTCAACAAGCCATGTTGTTCTCTTACACTGTAGAATAAATGTGAATTTAAGTTCATGGTTTGAAGACTTCGGCCATTCTTAGGGGGTGATTTACTAACCTAAACACACGCACGCACCAGGTGCGTGTGATTTTCACACAGCAAAACGTATTTATCAACCAAAAAGTCTCTAAAAGCATATTTCCACTAATGCCATATATGGAAAAATCATGCACATGATGCATATATAATGCTGCTTCACAGTTTAGACAAAAATGGTTAGCTCATGCATTTACATTCCTGCATTCATCAACGCAAGCAACACAACATAGAGCTAATTTACACAACATGACCTTGTAATTCATGCAGGGCTTTGCACAACACACCTGCTGGGTGTGTACACACTACAAAGGTGTTTACGTTCCACCCATAGATCATGCTGGGAGGGAACCCACTACAGAGGTGTATACATGTTCGTAGTGTGTTTATAAGGTTAGTAAATCAACCCCTTAGACTCTAACATCATATATTCCCAGGTTATAAATTTTGTTGGTTTTGTCAGACTAGTTAATAACACGATAGAGGTAGACACTAGAACCAGACTGATAAATGAGGATGCTGTATCTCAGGCTTGACAAAGGACAACACATTATCACCATTATCACCACCAGTATCTCCCCCCTGCCAAAATTTTGGGTGATAAAAGCTTAGAGAAATTTGGGAGTGAAAAAAGAACAGAAAGGAACAAGACAAGGTGTAAGAGTCAAATGGAGGCATGCGCACAAGCCAAATCTTCGTGTGGCCAAGTCCACATGCACACACAAACCAGAAGTGCACAAAAATACGTGAAAAGGCTGCTGGATCAGATATTATGCTGCTACCCTAATAGTCCAGCATATTTAAAAATGAATCTGCCCTTGCCCCATTGCTGATAGTCTTTCAGCTAGTGTTCCTGTGTGCCTGTATTCTGTTGGATTCCTGTTACCTGCTTGACCCAGTTTTGTTTGGACTTCTCTATTGATTGCTGCCTGCCCTGAACTCGGCCTGTTTTCTAGACTTCGCCTTCTGCCTCCTGATTTTGTACCTTGCTGCCCGGCTGGCTCCAACCTTTGGCTTTTCTGACCATGCTTTAGTCTCTTGGTTCTGTTCCCACGGTGCCTGCTCGGTTGGACCTCTGGCTTGCTGACTACCCACTACCAGGATGTCTCAGTTCCCATCAGTGGCACTTGTGCTACTCACTGTCCGCCCACTCTATGTTCTCATCTCCAGGAGCAGAAGGACACGAGCTGCAAGAGAAGCCTCCTCACTTTCCGGCCTACCACCAGGTACATGATACAAGAGGAGACAAGACTAGAAGAGAATGTGAACAAACTTAAAAAAGAACAAAGGGAAGGGACCAATGATTAGGAGAGAGGAACATCTGAGAAAGAATGTCTGTCCATAAATTGACCAAGGCTGAATATCACTATCTGAGACCAAATAGTCTCCAAATTAGTGGCAAAGTATAGATCATCATCTGTAAGCAATTTATGTTAGACATATTTCAGACAAAATCATTTAATCTGATCATTTGGTTACATAGTGTTCAAAAATGAAGTAGAGAAATGTTATCTGCAGTAAACATTATCTCTCATTTCAATTTTGTTATAAACAAGAGCTAATATGACCTCATAGCCAACGATTTGGGCGGTGAAAGCTGTAATTGTTGGTGGAGGCCGAGCTCGCCTCCAGGCTCGGCCTCCTGTTTCAGGATGGAGAGCGGTATGTGCAGTGACAGCTGCCATAGGAGATGGAGAGTGGTAATTGGAGGAGAGTACTGTAATCTGCCAAAGTAGGTGCAGCTCTCCTCCCCTACCGCCCACCCCGCCTCCTGTGACAGCCAATTCAGGAGGGAGAGCATTTTACAAACATTCACCGATCAATGTTTGTGTCAGGATGCCAGGGGCGTCGCCCCCCCACGAGGTCAGGGGGTACGGCATAGGGTACAGACCTCCCTTCAGCCTGGCAGACCCACGGGCGCTCCGGCGGCCACTGCGCATGCGCGAGCTACGCGCCGGGTGTGCGTGCGCAGTACACAGGCTGCGCGCGCATCCCGGGGCCGTGCTCGCAACACACGTGCACCTGTTTGAGCTTCAGTTGTGGCCTTGCTGGGGGAGGTTCCCCAGCCCACACACACAAACACCTTTCGCCTGCCATTGGCCCTCGGGAAGGGCGGCCTCCTGGTCGCCTCGGAGACCAGGGGGCGGACTCACACCCCCTGGCTATAAAAACCTGGCCAGAGCCCTGGCTCAGTGCTGAGTTATTCCACCTCTTGGTGTGACATACGAAGTTCTCCTCCTATGTGCCTTGCTGCCTGTTACCTGAACCCTCTGCTGACTTCCTGTGTACCGACCCTGGACCGACTATCGCCTCTGACCCTTGCTGCCTGACTCGACCTTGGATTGCGCTCGACTACCCCTTTGGATTGCCCTTTTGCTACCTTGCCTCCAGACTTTTTAGGCTGCTTCCTGCCAGCGGGTTCCCTCCGTGCTGCTTGCCCACGGACGCTCCCGACAGTTTGTAAATAAATGGACATAGTGTGATTACTATGTCCAGTTATGAATGAATGAGAAGTGATCTACATCACGTCCTGTTCATTCATGATTGTGGACATAGTAAGCACACTATATCCACAATGTATGAATGAACAGGAACACTCAGTATAGAGGCTTCCTGTTCATTCATAACAGGGGCTGCATAAAGAGATTGATGACGCAATCTCTTTTTCTATTTAAAACGGAAATAAATATCAGGGGTCTGTTTAGACCTTTGATATTTCCTTAAAGCTCCTAGCAGTAAGTAAAAAAATAAATACAAATAAAATAATTAAAAATAATTACATATTTTTTAAAAAATTTGAAAAAAAAAGTCAGTTACGGTTTCAGTTTCAGTCTGACAAATTTTATTCATTTATTTGTTATGTTTGGTCTCAAAATTCCATTTCTGTGCATTTATAGAAAATACCATTCCACCCAATGTTGTGGCACCATTTATCTTACTAATCAATGCTAACGAAAGGTCCTCACCATCTTGTCTTGAATTGTATTGTAATTGTAATGTCTTGGCGCTATATAAATCCTGTATAATAATAATAATAATAATAATACTGAAGCACCATTCTTCCCATTGACATCAATTCTGGGGCACCTTTCCTCCCACTGAATGCCAATGATGGGGCACTACCCCCCCCCCCCCCACTACCCCCATAGCGAAAAAGGAG